AGGGCCCAGAATAACTATGAGGAAAAGACTCGTGATATTGCCGTTGCAGGAAGTGTTTGCTAAGGTAACGCCACACGGAGAAAGCTCTGTGACTTAAATATGGGACTACACTTACTGGTTGTCTCTGGGTGCTTTGCACTGCCCAGGTGATGTAAAACAGCCATAAACCTGGCTTAATTGCCTGAAGCCAGGTTTACAGCAGACTTGTCACCAGAATGGCACAATGCAGTGCCATGTCCTGTTGAGTCCCACTCAGTCTCACCTGGCCAGCGTTCCGCTAATGAAACAGCTACGGGGCTTATTCTCTGCTCTGTCACACTGGTGCCAAATCAGTGGACCACTGCAAACGTTAGTGGTGTTACCCTGGTTTTTACATCCGTGTAGCTCCACTGAAGTAAACTGGATTACACTGAGTGCTCCAACAAAGTGGGAATCAAGTCTAGGCTGTACGTTAAGTGGGATTATTTTTAAATTGATCTAAGGATTCATAGCCACGCAACTGATTTGATAGAAGCATGCTCGCTTTCATACAGTATCAGGATAACGTTGATCTGCTTATGTAGAGGCAGTTACTGCTTAGTAACTTTATCCTCTTTTTATTTTTTATTGACAATACATTTCCAGCTGGACAAGCTATAGCAATTCATCTACCTGGGTAAACATTTTCAATAACGACTACCTTCACCTGGTGGTGAGGTGTAACGTCACGGCTGACAGGCTATTGATTGCAGAGCATGGGCCACGCTCCCTTTGCATGGGCACTGTGCTGCTGAGGCCGTTTAATTTTATGAATCATTTACAACCCATTGTGGAGTGTCTGTAAATCAGAACAACAACAATTCCCTGAAATGAATGGGACCAGGCAGACGTGGGTTCAGAACAAACCAGGGAGGCAGCTTAACTCCTAGAAAGCTCTTATTTCTTGTAGTGTGGTGAGTGACCCACTCTCATCCTGTCCTCCTGCTAACCTTCCCTTTTGAGAGCCTTTTATATAATCCAGTTGGGAGTCGCTTCCATCAGGATATTAGCATGCCCTGCACGTATGCTATGCTATGGGCCACCTTCTGCATCGATGGCCATATAGCTTAAATGGAAGTCTCCTATCGTATCTGGCCCCAGTTAAAAATGACATAAAACTGATTCTGTGGTTGAGTCCAAGTAAGTAATATTTCCTCCAGTAACAAGCAGGTTGATATTCTAGAGCCACTTCAAATAGGAGAGGGTGCCTGCTTTTAAAGACTATGGAAATACCGGTCACCATGATTTGATTAGTTCTGCAGATACCATAACGTATCTCAGGGTAGACAGGACACGAGTCAAGAGAGTTAAAGTTAAGCCATTGAGCAGGGGGAGGTATTCTTAGTCAGCCAGTTTCAAAACTGTTTTTCAAACACCTATTTTTAACTCAGAAAGCCAAGGAAAACTTTAAAAAGAGGATGTCTTTTGTTAAAGATGATACTCGTCAAGGAGTGAACACCCACAATAAGTATGCTGCAACACCCAGTAGGTCCTCCACCAAAGTAAGGACCAGATGTGGCATTCCTGACACTTTTAAGCTACAAATGTGTAGAATAACCTTTTAGGCCTAAGAAGAAGAGAAAAGTAAGAGAGGTTTTACCCTTTTTTTGTATCTTACTTCATTAGGCTAATAGAAACGGCCACCCTGGCTCTAAAGAGATCTAGAGGATAAGGAATAAGGATAAGGAGATCTTGGTCCAAAATAACCAGCATGAGAAGCAGTTCCAGGCACAATGTATGAGTCAGAGTTTTTGGAGAGGGCTGACTCTGAGTTCCGGTTAAAAGGATCATTTTAAGGTTGCTGGGATTTTATTGTATCTAGGTGTTAGGGCACCTGGAACCTTTGATAGACATCTCTTTATTTAAATCAAGATAATGAATGTTAGAAACGTATTGAACGCCACTGCAGTGCAGTTTGGTAGTTGTCGGACTGGCCTGTAGGAGCCCCTGTTGTTGCAGAGCATAATGAAGGGTGAGACCCAAGTTTTGAGTGTTGGAAGGGAGACAGACGCTTAAAAACATCTCTTGCAAAATGGACTGCAGAGTAAGAGAGCTGGAGAACCCCTCGTATAGTTTAATTTTGGACTTGAGGCTTCTGTACAGTACTTACTAGAGAGGTTTTGTGGTGGGGGATACTTTGACATTTTGTTTTGTTCTGATTAGGAGCAAACCCCACAAACTTCCAAATTCTCCAGCAGGGAATGGAACCACAGAGTCATGGACTCCGGAAGCCATGGGCTCCCCGGGTTAGCAGGTTGACTGTCGTGGAGCTGGGCAGGCAAACTGGCAAGAAACCATGCCTGGGTCCCTTGGACTGTCTGCAAAATATTCTGATTTTGCCAAATCAACAAACTCTGATGGAACAATGTTTCTCTACTGCTAAAAGACTAAGCCTTGTTTCCTGGCCCCGGTTACATGACGTAGGTCAGAGTTACAAAAGGTTAATACCACCCTCACACAGCAATGGTGCGTGTCCAGTGACTAACGTAAAAGCGTATTTTACAATGGTCTTCTTTGTTGCATAGAAAGACATGGGAGATAACTGTCTTTGATTTACACAGTGTACTCCTGCCCTTGGGGATTTGTTGCTCACTGACCAGTAAATTATCTTGTATAGGGGACTATTTCCTCAGTATCGTAGCAGGGTGGGACACAGGAAATTGCCTAAGCACCTGTTGCTTAACCTCCTTCCCTTTCTCATCCTCCACCCCCACAGCACACAGCACGCAATACACTGATTCCCACTGGGAAAAGCACGCCAGCTAATAATTTTTAAACAAGCCCCCTGAACTGGAAAGGGGTGGTTTTTACCCTGATCCTGAGACGCTGCCATATAGATGCTAAACTAGATCCTAGTGACATGGCCTCTGCGGCTGGAATGTCCTGTCTGAGCACTACTCCATGAGCTTGGATTTAATGACACGAATAGCTGCAGTGTTGCAGCTAGCGTCACTCCTATAAATACCCGTTATTCCCAGCCTCCTTGCCCATGGAGACCAATTTTTTTTAGATGACCCGCTGGTTCTTGGACTCTGCTCTGTTTGCTGCTGATGCAGGAATGCTAGGCTTGGCCAAAACATCTATTTTAAGAAAGGTGCATTCTGCCAACTGTATTGATCTTTTTTTATATATAAGGTCAACTGGGCCACAGATATAGCGTGACACTGGAAACTTACAGCACTGTGACCTCTGTGCAGACAATGAAATTCAAGTGAAGCCAGGAACCAATGACAGGACAGTCAAATTATTCAAAGCGTCCCGAAGCCAGCGTGGGTGTATGCACAGACCTTCCCCCCAGCACAGCGGGGCTCTGTGGCTCTGGCCTCTTTTGTCTAGACACTGCCGAGGCCTCTCTGCTGATCTGTGCAGAGTGAAGAGCAAGGGACTGGGGGAGCAGTGGCTTGGGCAGAAGCGATACTTATCACTTCCTTGGCCATGACCCACAGAAACTGCCCAGAAAAGGAAGCATAGACTAGGGCTGTATTACCTGCCCCACAGAGTACCCTGCATAGTAAGAATAGCTTTTAAGGAGGATCCCAGAAGAAACCATAGTAGGGGGTGGGGAATATGCTGTGCAAGTGCAATCTCATCAGAGCTATGCTGTCAGTTTCTCCGGGGGCCAATGCAGAGACACCAATACACTGATGGCCTTGGCCCCCCCGCCCAGATCCCTGGGAAACAATGGGGGGTGGGCCCTGTGATACATCAGAACCCCTGAGCCTTCTGCCCCATACATATAAATTGGGATACTGTGTTGTTTACTTGTACTATAGCTTTGTGGAAGATAGGTGTACACTGTTAACCCTCATTGTCTGAGTTTCTGTGCATCCTATTTCCATAGGTGCTGGATCTAGGGGTGCTGCCACACCCCCTGGCTTGAAGTGTTTTTCATCATATACAGGGTTTACAGTTTGGTTCAAATGGCACAGACCACGGTCAACCTGTGGAACTCCTTGCCTCAGGAGGTTGTGAAGCCTAGGACTGTAACAGGGTTTAAAAGAGAACTGGGTAAATTCATGGAGGTTAAGTCCATTAATGACTATTAGCCAGGATGGGTAAGGAATGTCCCTAGCCTCTGTTTGTCAGAGGGTGGAGATGGATGGCCAGAGAGAGATCACTTGATCATTGCCTGTTAGGTTCACTCCCTCTGGAGCACTTGGCATTGGCCACTGTCGGTAGACAGGATACTGGGCTGGATGGACCTTTGGTCTGACCCAGTCTGGCCGTTCTTATGCTCTCTCAGCACCCCCACAATACAAACTGTTCCAGCACCCCTGTCCTTTTCCATAGACTTCAGTGAAGTGGAGAATTAAACACCCCTTTCCCCCGCACCCCGCCATCCATTTGTCAAAATTGATTTGTAGAAGGCCCTCAAAGTAGCAGCAAAAGTGCAGATCATCTGTGTGTGGTTGGGAGCAAGGCATGTGAAGCCGCATGCTGTGCTCTGTGGGGACTCCCTCCACCCCAGCCACAGAGGTCTGCTGTAGGGCAAACTAGGTCGAGTGTGACGAGACCAGTGAATCAATGCATGCACTGGCAAACCCAAGATGGGAAGATGGGACTAGTAGTGGTCACTGAGCAGCTCTTCAAGAGGGCGAGGGATTCCATGTCTGCTAGACTCCTGCAAAACTCCCTTGTACACAGCTGACTTACTGGGCCGAGCACCGGATCTATGCAGGAAAAAAAGACACAGGGCAAGATCTGGCTTGCTTTCTTTTCAGGGTGCTTTATAACCTCATGAAAATTATCAATACCTTCTCTGTTTGTTGCTTTTCATCTCATTTGACCAAGGGAGACTCATGAAGTCAAACTACCACGAGCAATGCTTCCCTTTTGATAATTATTTGTAAATCCACTTTAGTAATTTCCTGGACCCTAACAGTAATTCTTGTGATGAATGGTTCGCATAACGCCTGACGTATACGTCATGCCACCTGGGTCAGTGATTCAGCTACAGCTCAAATAAGTGAACTCACTTGGAGTAAGTTTGAAATTATTTTATTTAAACATGTTACACATACAAAATTAACACCGCTAATTTAGAAAATACAAAAGTAGTTAATTTCCAGAGTGCTGTACAACATTGCTAAGAGACAGCAGCAATGTGTGTGTTCCTTAAACCTGCCTTGCTTAAAAACTTCTGGGGCCAGGCAGTTACAAAACTAACACTTTCTCTGTGTGTGTAACTTTTCGGAGAGACTTGCTGGCATTGTGTGCACTTAGTGAAGCAGCAGATTATGCCAGGTAAGCAGCTATGTGAAAGGATTTCACATCAACTTCCACATACAGTAAAGTGGCCTCTTTGGGTCTCATTCTGCACATCTTGCTGTGTCAACGGAAGTTTTGCTTCACTAAGCAGAGCAGAGTCAGGCCTTATATGGAGAACACAATCGGCCCTGACCCTATAATCTCTCTGAATGTGGAACTCCCATTGAAGTCCATATACAGGGGCCTTGCAGGATCAGGGCCATTGTTCAAATGCAGGTAGATCTTGTTACACAGTTATCCAGAAATCTAGAGTGAACACTTTCTTCCGGTATTAATCTAGGATCTCTTCTACATTATGAAAAATTCAAATAAAAAAAGTAAACAGAACAAAGCAATTTAATAACTAAAAAGCAATTGTGCAATTCTTCACTTTCAAGAACAATTTGTGGAATGCCATTTCTGATTTACAGAACACATTTTCTGAAAGATTATCCTATATTGGGAATCCATACTACAATATGTAATGTAAAGCTTCCCAAGGTAAAACATTCAATTCCATTGAGCAGGAAGAATTCAAAGGATCATACATGGGCAGAGTATTAATCTAGTTCTCACAAACCAATGATAATTCCTCTTTATAAATTGGTTTTGGTGCCTCTAAAGAGGTCTAAGAATACAACACTGTTACACTCTCGATCATTCTGCCTCCTAGCTCTTTAAAGATTGTGCACTCAACAGGAGTAAATTTGTACCATTATTTGAAAAAGGAGTCCTCCTAAGACAGATACACAAGTGTGCTGCATCCAAAGATAGGACATACAGAACATGGTGGTGGTGCTCCTTGCAAGAGAAGATAACGGTTACAGCAGCCCTTTAGGCAATGCTTTTGTGACAATTTCTAATTGCAGAATTCTGGTTTAGGTGCATAGAACACTTGCAGCACAGCTTTCAATGGACTTTTGCATAGCAAGAACAACAGAGCTGTGCTACATAAGCACATGAAACAGCAACAACTGTGTTGTGTAGTATTACCAGTATTTATCCAGTAACAATCGAAAAAGACTAGACACGGGGCTTGCCAATATGGCCACCAGGAAAATAGTTAAATGTTGAGAACTCTTTTCAACTAGCTGCAAGACATTTATACAGTGAAGTGATTGCTGCTTTGCCCCCAACTATTCCAAGCTAGGATGCAAGTTCCCCATTCCCTTAGTGCAAAGCTCTGCCGGGATGGGGCTGCTTCCCTTGGTTGCACTTAAATTCAACCTTTTAACAAGGTAGAAATGTTGGCAACATTGAGATTTAAATCCCAAACCATGTACTTGCTGATTTATCCTTCCCAAATGAACCCACTGAGAGTTTGGTGACTCTGCACTGTCCTGGAGAGCACCGCAGGGGAAAGTGTACATGTCAAATGCCTTACTTCTCAAAGAGAAGAGGAATCACCTGTTTGAACGATTTTGGCTTAGGGCAATTTGTTTGTTAAGGAGGATTTTTGTTTGCTTTCTTTAACAAAGAGCTGGCAATTGCCAGAGCCCCTCCCTGCACGAAACGCACAAAGTTGTCCCCTGCTAATGGTCCCACAGCATAAAGCCCTTTCTCCTGAACACATTCATAGGTAAATGGGTCAACGTTGATGGGGTTCCTCTTGGAGTTGACTGGCTGCTCATTGTCAATTGCCAAGTCAATGCCATTATTTGGTAGGAAGGAGAGGTTGGGGTTTGATCCAATGAGAACAAAAGCCATAGAAATGTTAAAGACTTTCTGGTGACCACTCTTATCCTGGAAGACACACTTCTTGTCCTCTGTAAAGGACAAGACATGATGTTCAGGAAGGCTGATGTAACATTTATATGGCCCAGGACAAGCAACTGACTGTTCTTTCATCATCTGGTGGACTTTGTGGTACTCCGGATACATCATTTTGGGGAGCTGATTGAAGATGAGGCCTGGATCGTTGACCCTTCTGCGAAAGGCATGGATCACTGGGATGTTGCAATGGTGAGCAAAGAGAATTGCATCAGCAGCTGTCAGCCCGGCACCTACAATCAAGACTGGATCTGATGTCATGCCAACCCTCTTGTTCTTCACTGCTTCTTCAAGGGCAGAGAGTTTGTGATGGACAAAAGGAAGGTCCTCTCCATTAACTCCAAGCTTGGTTGGACTGTCATATGTTCCTGTGGCTAAAACCACATTCTCTGCATAGATGGAGAAGGGTTGCTGATGACCATTAGTGTTTTTGATGAATCCATCCACCTGGAAGAGATTTCCACTAGCAATCTGGTCATCATCTTTCTCAGGGAAATCCCAGATGGAGTCACTGTTCCCCTCAGGATCCTGCTGTGCATAGCTGGAGTTTACATCTGGGCTCACTTTCCTCACAGATGTCACAACAGTCCCACAGATAAAATTCTTCTGCAGCCCTTTCTTTGCCACATAATGTTGGTAATATTGAGCAATGTCTTCTGCTGTGGCTCTGTTATTCCTGAGGCCCCTGTAAAAGGATATTATAAATGATGGTTGAACAGTGAAATTCAGAGGCTCCCTCCTTTGTTGCATGTATTGAAGGGCTATCTACCCTGGCATTAATGGAGAAACTGGGCCTGCATTCTCTTCTCTAGTGTAAAACTAGGGAGTAATTCAATTCATTTCATATTACTCCTAATACACAAGTCTGAACAGTCAGGCTCACTGACTATCAGGAATAATTGGAAGAGGCAATATTGTCTGGTATGAAAATCCCACAAAAACTTTGGCAACATATTTATCCTTGACTACCCTCCCTATTACTTCCATTTTATTTTTTCTGGTGAGCTTTTCCAGACTTAGAACGTAAATGCTATAGACCTAACAAAAGCAAAAGTAGCCTAAGTATTTGCAATCTCACATCTGAATGGTTACACTGTACATTCTGTCCCACTGTATATCTGTCTGATTAGAATACTTGTAAATGCGGGACAATACAAATGGGCTACACTATCCAAAAATTATGGTTTCCACACCTATTAATTCAGATTTTTAAATGTAACTGCTGGCCATATTCTGTTACCCCAGTGTACATTCAGAACTAACTGCTCTGCGATCCATGGAGTTACTCTGAATTTTATACCACCAGCACTGAATACCAAATAGATTTTTCTTGGGGATTTCTTCCACTCACTGAAACTGGCCATAATAGGTAGCCAGCTGGACTTCATACCAGATATTTCCAAATAGCCAAAGGATTTTGGGACAAAGTAATATCACATCAGTCTCCTCACCTTCTCTTTTTCCTCATCCAGTCTTTGAACTGAAGGTCTGGAAGCCCCATCCATTCCCCTTGGCTCAGAGTGATCATAGATCCCTCAATAAACTGAAAGAACAAACAGCGAATGAGTTAAGCAACTGAAAAATGAAAGGAATTAAGCACTAATGGAACAGGAACACTGTTCTATTAAGTTCCAGTAAATCACATTTTAGTGTATCCAAGGGACCTCAGCGGATCCAGATGTTTGGATGGAACAAACGGCAGTAGTGGGCTGGGAGGGAAAATTTCCCCTGCGCATTCAAACCAGCTCACTTTTCGGTGGGTCTAAAAGCAGAGATCCTGCTTGTCTGGCTGATTAAAGATGTAAAGGGCTGAACAAGCTAATCAGGATACGGACTTTTCTGTAATACACATTTCATAAGCTTAAGCATTCATGTCTACATACATGCCAGGCACCCCCAGGAGGGTTTCTGCCAAGGACCAGATGGGGAATAGCCCTGTGGGTCTCGTGCCACCAAGTGAGGACAGATTCTGCAGTTCCACCAAAGTCTGTATCTGGACGCAGCAGAGTATCAAAAAGAAGAGCCACGGGGCTCTGGGATCGTCCCTCCAAACCTTCAGACAGGTACTCCAGATCCTAAAAGACAGGGCAGATACTTAGAGCCTGCATCATAGAACACATGAGATCACTTCAAAATGCAGCAGTAATGGAATATCACTAGGTGCTCAGTAGAGCTGAACTTCACTTAGTCAGAACAAGGCCTACATGTCACACAAGCCCTGTCTGGAAGATTTGAGCAGTGCACAGCCCTTGTGCTGGCCCTATATACCGTGATGATTTGGGAAACAAATTAACCCATGCTTAAGGCTTCTGTTGCCAGCATGCTCTGGGCATATGATGGTGGTGATGTGTTCTATCTACTTCTTCCTGTTAAAAGGCAAATTCATTTGATACAAACCTGGTCTATAATGGGGACTTCTGGTGTTTCCTCTAGCTTCCTCTGTAGAATAGGATGAGGATGAACAGATCCCCTTTTGATGTAAGGGATATAACCAGACAGCAGGTAGGAAAGGCAAATTCCTGAAGGACCATTCCCTGAACAAACATTAAAATAATATTGTATCACGAAGGTTGGAACAATAGTCCTTTGTAAAACATCTCATCAGATATGCAGTATGATCCAGGGGATAGACTTCAACTCAGGAGAACTGCGTTCTAGTCTCAAGTCAACCACGGTCCTGCTCCATGGCCTTGGGCAAATCATTTCACTTTTCTGTTTCCCTTTTTGTCTGTCATATCTAGGTGTATTGTAAGCTGTTCAGGGCAGGGGCTGTTTCTTACAAGATCTAAGTACAAAACCTAGCACCCTGGAGCCCTGATTCCAGTTGGGACCTCTTAGCGCTACTGACACTCTAATAAGCTAGTGCTTTTTCAAACATGGGCAAAATAGCAGGCTTGGAAGAGAGCTGCATTTTTCAAAGGATGATGCTCCTGTTTAGGAATTAAACCTGCTCTTGGACTTTGAGGGTACGTCTATACACTACATCCAGAGCTGTGGGACCCATACTTGTGGACTCAGTGTTTCCAAGCCTGTGTTTGAGCACCCACATTCAATTGTAAACCTGGGTTTACAATTGCTGGACCCAGATCTCACAGCTGTGCCAAGGGGTCCACACTGCACTACACAAACCTTCTGACTCAGGTCTTCAGCTTGACCTGAGTCCACACTGCAAAATGACAGGACCCAAGCCACAGCAGGACTTAGGGGGTGGGTCAGAGCCTAGCAGGGTCCTAATACCTGCATCCTGAATGCTTGCTGACCTGAGTGATTTGTGTATGGATGAAAGGGGGGGTTGGGCTCAAACCCCAGAAGAGTTAAGGCTTCATTCTTTCCTGCCTAAATGCAACTTGCATCACTTCATAATCTTGAAGGAAAAATCAGACACTGCTATGATGTACATTCACATGGGGTAGCTAATTTCCAAGAGCTGAAGTGGTGCTGCCATACATCAGACAGCAGGTTCAAGTCCTTGGTGCCTACTGCTCAATGCCACTGTCCACAGTCATTCTGAAGCAAGTAGGTTATTAGGAAGAGATGGAGGATCTTTATTGCTCACTTTCAGGTATTTTCTGGAGATTACCTGGAAGGGCCAAGGAATTCAGACCTAGACTCATCTCAATTACCGCTATGTGACACGGAAGATATGTGGAGCAGGGGGTGGGCACACAATGCCTCATATTCCAATTCTCTAATCTCTTGGATACTGGTCCCTGATTTGGCAGAAGACCCCGTTCTGAATAAGTCAAAGAAACTGGCCAAATTTCTCACCTTAAATGTGGACGCTCTCTAACCTGTTGACTGATTGATTTAAATGAAGCTAATGGAGTTGCTATTGATTACACTAGGTCTCCAATCAGCCCTGTAGGTTTAGTTCTCTCCCACCTTTGTTTTCTCTCCTTCTAGTCACTGGAAGCAAGCAGCGAGCTGGAGGTTGGGCAAAGAGCCCACCCTCCCCCACCCCATCATCCCTCAAAGTATGACACTTTGAACAAATAGCTGGATGGCTAAAACTTTCCTACCGCCCACCCAACAACTGGCTTCAGAAGCGAATATACACACTCTACGTCAGTGTACAGTGGAGTAGAGTGTGGAAAGTTTTCACATGGCTGTTTTCCAATAGGTTTAATATTTTACAGTGTCTATATAACTAGCTATCAGCCTCTACAGCTCAAAGCTTTGTTGCTCTTGAGTAACCACCATTACATAATGCAGTGCTGGAAAAAACAGTCAGGGTGACACAGCAGCTTGTAACGTTCTGTGTGCACTTTCATAGCACTGTTGACATAATCCCTGCTCTGGGAGCAATGAATGGCTGGGAGCAAAGGCCACTTCTCAATTCTATTCCTAACACTGTTTCACTTAGATTAGAGCAAAAGCCAAGTGCAAAACTGATGGAGATAAAAACCCAATCATTAACTTGAAACAGAACCAGGATACAAGTCATCCTTAAGTTGCTCTTCTACTGTTGGGGTTATGTCAGAGTTCCTGAGCAGCATCTGGCTACATGAGACGGAGTTATGGACAAAGCGGTGGTTATAAATATGAATCTTTAAGTCCCATAAAGTAGGCCAGATACGCTCCTGCTTTTGTGCTGGATCTGATCAACTGATTGCCCTGGCATGAGGGAGCTCTCAGCTGTCACAGAACCAGTATAGCCAACCCCTGGAGTACTCTCCAGCAACTTCCAGCTGGCAATGTTCCTAGGGAGCTGTTCAGAAAACCAGAGCCTCCCTTCTCCTGGGCAGGGGGGGAATCTCTGCACTGGCAACACTCAGAATGGTCTTTAAGTTAAACTTGTTTTGGAATTGGACCCTTTAAACGGTAGTACCAAGAATTTACCAATCCCATCCCCAAGAAAAAGCTTTTCAATTGTCTGTCTAAAAATGCCTCTCAGGATTCAGCCCCCAGGGACAAGCGTTCACCTCACAAAACTACGATAAAAAGGATTAAGTGAAACTTTTGTAGTGCATGAACCTTGTATGGGCTCACTCCACAGGGGTGAATTTCACCCTGGTTTAGATGGTGGGCACAGAACAAGCCCAGCACTAGCACAGCATTTAAGCACATTGACTTTCCAGAGAGTCAATGGGGCTCATATCTTAATTTAGCAAGGCACCTAAGCACAAGCTTGAGTGAAAAGGGAATGACTCCTGTATGCCAGAGAAGCCTCTGATCTGTCATAGCTGATCACATCAGTGACACAACTGATATGAAGAGTGAGCATGTCTAACTAACCTCCAAGAAGGCATTTGAAAACAAGAAGCTCCTGTTTCTGATTCACTCACCAAACATCAAACTAAGAGGAGCATCACTTTTGCATTCCTACAAACAGCTGTTTTAAAAATTAAACTACTTCACATAGTTTTCACTGTGTAAACCTGAACCAAAGCCCATCGAACTCCAGCTTTCGGAACAATGCATGAGGATGTCAGATATAGTCTGTCTTAGTAAGACTCCAGCACTGGAGAACACGGATTACATCGCCAAAATATTATTTACCTATAACAACAATGGGAAGTGGTTTGGAATCACTTTTATTTGGACGCTTGTTCAACACTGGATACATCTTCACATCTGAAAGGATTCAGGACCAGAAATCTACCTGTAATGACAAAAAAAGGCAACCATTAACTATCCTTTTTTAATAACAAATACTCGCTCCTCTTCATAGCCCTCTGTAGCAGCTGATCTAAAATATTATCCTCGTTTTACATGAATGGAGTTAAATTTCAACTCCCATAAAGTATAGGTGTAAATTTTGTATTGGAAACCTAAGGTCAAATCCTAATTATGCCATAAACAAAAGATGTCCTTGTCTTAGTCCTTCATGGACTTTTTTGGCCCACATGATACAAGTGCCAGCCTCTACTCAAGACAGGCCAAGGATTCAAATAACAGGGAATGTTGCAGGTGAGTTGTAGCAAAAGCTTCCCTTCTCCTATCACTATACATCATGGGCTAAGTTCTTGTTACAGTGACTTCGAGGGCTATTTGGTAATTTTCCAAGCGGCTGTACAAACACAAAATATTTCTTCAATGAGGTTCTTGTGACATTTGTATTTTTAGAGAAGTTTGCACATTCATGGAGCATGGAGTCTAAACTTCTGCTTGAAGACTTGAAAGCCATTGGCATCATTTTCAAAAATGCCCCATCACATTGCTAAAGGTTTCTGAGTAATTTGAACTGCTAAAGCACTAAACCACTGGGTGCAGTCGTTAACAAGCTCTTTTAAAAGCAATATCCTTGTCCTCTTGCAAGGACAGGTGTTACTGTCACATTCGTGGAGTGGAAACTATTTACGTCCATCTGTTAATTCCTTAACAGCACAGAGATCCCATGTACATGCAGAGTTCTGAATCAGAGCTTGTTAAGCCATCCAGAGACGAATAACAAACTTATCAGCCAATCTCCTAGTGACTGAGTAGGAGAATAAGAGTGAGACTGGTTGGTAAGCCCTTACCTGTCCTGTCACTCTTGTCGACTTTAATTGAACAGCATAGTGACTAGGCATGTACACTAAGTGCAAGCTAGCCACGCCTAACTCACTGCTATCTTGAGGCTGCAGTGACTTTCCCCACCATAAATAAATAATTCCAAAGTTGTTTGAATGAATTTGTATTAGTCATCTGTACTTTCAGTGCTGCTAATCCACTGAGACCAGAAAGACTTACAAATTCGCTGTGGTTACTAGGACTAGACAAGTGTTCTCAATAGAAATCTTCAGCGAGCCTCCAGAAAATGAAAATATTAAATTAACACCTTCATAATTTTGAAAACCTATCAGAATTCATTGAATGGAATGACGTGGCTCAGCGGGGCAGTCTCGTCTCTTCATTGAGTGTAAAAAGATCTTTGGGAATGTACAGCATGCTTACCAAACAAGCTTGGCATGTCATAATGTTTGACATAATCCTTTCACCACAAAGGTCATCCAATTTATGCAACAGTTCATTTAAACTGAAGTCTACTTCACTACTTAATGCAAGAACCTACTAAGTTCCCGGCAGATTGAACAAGCAGCCACACAAATTTTACCTTGAAGTTAAAAAAAAAAAAAAAATCTAGTAATCAAGTTTTTTGAATTTAGTCTTAGAGAAGCTGATACTCCTGTACTATACAATATATCCCTTTGCCATAAATGAATTGTAATATTAGTCTTTTACCTATTGCCTTTCCTCTGGCAGGATCCCAATTCATGTTGCTAATTCTCACATATACTGTGTTTTGGAATAATTTGCCTCTGAAATGTAGCCAGCTCTGGGACAGACGATGCTAACTATTCCAAAAGGGTAAAACTCACCCCTGAGCAGAGAGGAAGTGCAAGGCCTATGTACCATTTAAGTTGTGCATAGTCTTTACGGTGAACATCTGCACAAAAGTGAATTTCAGCCATGTTGCACGAAAGATGAAGGGAAGTTAGTATCTTACTTCTGGGCATCAAAAACCAGTTTTTAAATGCAATAGGTAGACAGACCAATGGCAAGAAGCAAGACAGCTTTGGCACTGGTAAAGGCAAAAAGTAGGCATTTCACTAACTTTTTGAAGAAGGTAACACTGGTGGGTGGTGCTGACAAAATAGCAAATGTTTTCATGCAAGGGCAAACTAGACAAACATGCAGTTTTAGCCAGTAACATCTCCCATCTGAGCAAACAAAAGCATCCTGGATCTTCTAGAAGGAATCAAGTCCTGGCTACCCTTTGCTTTGTACCATTTCTTTTGACAGCATTCCATCATCTGGAAATGAAGGATACCCAAGAGTCCATGCTTACTTGGTCATTAGGAATTAGCACACATAGGTATCTATATTTCTGCCTCAAAACTCTAGTGATATCGATTGGCCTTTAACGGTTATTAATCTACCGGTGAAAGAAACTCGATGATTTATTGGGACATTAAGTAACATTTGATCACTGCCTACTAAATGTGTGTAAGTGTTACGCATGAAGCATCTAATGGTGAACTAGATGATCCTGTGAAAAGGCTCAGTTTGAGCTTGTGAAATTCTTCTGTATTTTTTATAATTTAGTGGGGGAGGGGACGTGAGGGGGGTTCTTTTTATTTTGTATTTGCTGAGGGTGGAGGGAGTGTTGAGTCCTGCCCCTGGGGAGGTGGGAGCCCCTGGCAGGGGAGGGGATTGCAGAGTGAGCCGGCCACACATTCACCCCACCGTGGTGGCTCCTGCTGCTCCCATCCCACATGGCTGGGCCCAGCTTTCTGCTCTGGGCATTGCCACCTGCCACACGGGGGCCCAGCGTTGCGCAGGTTGGACCCAGCCAGCCCTTGTCATGATGGAGGGGCAGCCAGGCCAAACCCAAACAATGCGTCGATCCCATGTGCCCAGTCACAATGCCCAAAGCAGGGAGCTGGGCCCAGCCCCACGGGACAGGTGGTGCTGGAACAATTTTTATAATGGGGGGGGCGGAAGGTGGAAACCATGTATGCGAGTTGTTATTACTAGTTCAAATCACGGGGTGCAGCAGCACCCCTAACCCCACTAGTTCCAGCACTTATGGGTGGGGCAGCTTGCTCTGCAACCTGCCAGCAGGTTGCAATGCCCAGAGTGGGAAGCCAGACCCACCCCTGCAGGACAGGAACCAAAGTAGCCGCTGCTGCAAGGCGAGTTTTTCCTTTTATACTTCGGTTTTTGATTTAATTTTGTGTTATTTCACATTTGCAAAAAAACAAGAGGCTCTAACTATAGAAATCATGGACTATAACAAGTGTAAAGTCCTCAGGCTTTTATCACCCAAGGCCTGTTTTTATAAGTCCTCTATAAATAGGGCACTGTCACAGGAAAACACGGTCATAACTTTAACTATTGCAGGACAACTAGTGTTGCTTAGATCCTAGTATGCCCAGAGGCTGCACCAACACACAGACCGTGGCATGGTGAATTTCTAAACTAAATCAACAATAACTTTCCCTGGAATCTAACTCTGGAGACTTTCTGTCTAATTGGACACATCTTCCTTCCCACTCTGCCTCTAAATCGCTTCCTCTCTTGATAGCTCACCTTAGTCCTTCCTTTTCACATCTGTCTATGCCGCTTTTAGGCTGTGTCTCATATTGTAGCCTTGACAAAAAGCACCGCACTATATGCGGACGTGTTACCCTCCTACTCACAACGACTGTTCCCTGCTGCTGAAGGATAAGGCATTCCAACCACGTGCCAGAACTAATCAGAAACAGGCACACGGCTAACTCCCTACGATGCAGCCACCTCTCTCCTGCCTCCCCCGATGCAATTGCAGGAGATCAGCGCTAAGCAGGTGGGGTGGCTGTGTGAGACCAGGGAGTTGGAACTGCCATTCAACACAGCATGATATTCTCTCAAGCAGCATAAATTATAATGCAGCTTACATGGTCAGTGCTTGCCTGAAGAGTGGCAGTAGCTCTCACACCATGGCTGTTCCACACAACATACAGGTCTGGGTTATGTTTCCTAGCAGAGCAAACCATGAACCTTCAGACTAGAATGACTTTTCTTTAGATTAAGCGGGGGAAGAGGAGGGATACAAAGTCCCTAAAAGACAGCAGTGTGTATTTCTCCAACAGTCTGCAGAAACACTGCTGATGAAATGGCTGCACGTTCTCTGTGGATGGGCAATGGACCGTGAACCAGCCACTGACAGCACAGCATAAGATAATATCATGCTGCTGCTGTGACTGCTGCTAAAGTGCTTCTTTTAGGGGACATAGGTGGGGCAAGATGGGCCAGAACCAGCTGTGTAGTTTTACCTCCATCAGTAGCAGGTTGCCTTGGCCTCCAGCTGTTCTGCTATCATCCACCTCTACGGCAGGAGCTGTGGACTACCTGTGATAAGTCAATTCCCCCTTCTATGGCTTTTGATATGTGAAAGGAAGGAGACATTCGTGGGAATTATACCCAGAGTTATTGGCAAGAGTAGTATCACTGGCTACACTGCGGGGATGTCTTAGATCCAAACCCAGATTAGACAACACTAGCACTAAAATAGATCGAATAAAAACCAAGTGTACCTCCTTAGCTAGATGCACCGCAATGAAATTGGCATAAAGTTCAGTGACTGATGCCTCCGGATACCATTTCCTTATTGGGCAGAGTAATATGCAAACTTATTTTCCATCACGGTTGTTAATAGTTAGTTATCCTAGCACAGCTCTACTGATGAAAGAAGTATTCCCTCCCTGCTCTAGATCTGTCACCTGTATGGTTTATAGTCATTACCTGTTTTATAAGAAGAAAGCTAACACCAATGCGCCAAGTTCTGCACCAGTTTACACCTTTGCAAATGTCTGACATTCATTTGCATCAATGGAAAGCAGGATTTAGTGCAATACATTAAATATAGAATAGAAACTGCTGAAGACACAGGAGGGAAAAATTCTTTCATGCCATTAGAACCAAAAACAGAATCTTTGGATCACTCTCAATACTGAGAGGACTCATTCCCACCATTGAAATCCAGATAGCAGGTCAAATCCTACTCACCTTCAGTGGCATTGCATTGTACAAGTGCATAAGGTGTGTGGGAGTTTCCCCAGGGTTTATACTGAACTTGCTATGGAAGTGCAATAGGGGAAGAAACTGATCAAATAAAATAAACTAGGTTTCAGAGTAGCAGCCGTGTTAGTCTGTATCCGCAAAAAGAACAGAACAGGAGGACTTGTGGCACCTTAGAGATTAACAAATTTATTAGTCTCTAAGGTGCCACAAGTACGCCTGTTCTTTTTAAAAGAAACTAGGTTGTTTTTCTTTATGTAAAACAGAACAGCCAGTATTCAAACTCAGCCAGCGCAATGATTCCATTCATAGTATTGGCTTCTAATTTAGGATTCCACCTTAAATGTTCCTCTCCCTGCAACCCACCTCCCACCCCAATCTGGAAGTGCTTTCTGTTCTATTATTAGTGTGCGCCAGCATCCGTCCCCTCATTGCCACCAATGTGTCTCACTGCTTAGGTAATGTTACATAACTGTTCTGGCTAGGAGACGTGCCTAACTTATCCATCTAGGGCCAAATCCTGCTCTCCTTACCTTTTAAGTCCAATGGGAGTACATGTGTATCACTCATGTAAAGCAAGCTAATGTGAACCCTAGTGTTTCCAGGCTGCACAACTGAAATGAATTATAAATCCAAAGAAGGGAGAGAGAGAGAGAGAGAGAAAGCAGTGATTTGTTAGCAATACACTGGAGCAACTTTAGTAGCAAGAGCCAAGTTCTGTTGCCCTGAGCAAGCAAAGTTCCCAGAGTCATCAACGGGAGCCTTACTTAAGTAAGGACCATAAAATTAGGCCAGTCCAACACATGGAGAGATTTTAAGAAGGGTAGTGCAGCTATAAATAATGTAGCAGCTTGCAGGTGTTTCTATGAGATTCAGGTAACAGGAGCGGCACAAGCTTGTCACGCACACAGCAGTTTCCATCAGTTGTTAATTTCTTTTTCTCTCTGTTCATTTCACAGGCAGCTATTTGTAATGTCATTTGATTGCATTCATTTTTTTTAAAATACTGAAACTTCCAACAGTTGAGTGCAGTTTAAAGTTTACTGCATCCTTCTAAAGTTTTAATAGAATCTTTCTGCTTGCATTTCTTCTCTATGTAAGTTCAAAAGCTTCTCTCTCAGCAACAGAAGTTGGTCCAATAAAAGATATTACCTGACCCTCCTTGTCAGTCTTATTCTTGTGATTCTAATACAAAGCATTCCATAGACAGAAATGAGGAACAATCCAGGTCTGTGGTTCATTAAGCTGACACCTTCTTTCTAAAAGCATTCCCTTGTGCCATTCTAGAAAGCAATATGCTACTTATGCCTGGCTAATAAAGCTTCTTTTATTCATCTACAGTCCTCTTACCTCAGGAAATGAAGCTGATGAGAAGGAAAAAGTCTGTGCATCAGTGCCTGTATTTCTAGAGCAGCAGAACACACCATGCGTCTTAACTGTATATTGCTCCCAGCTCCAAGACAGCTGTTAAATATTGTAGGCAACCAGTTCTAGTTTAAGGGGGTGGGGTGGAAGCTGGGGTGGGAGGGACTAGGAAAATCGCTCATAAGCATGAGTCAGCAACATTACCTAGCTTACTCTGTTTATGAATGAACTATGCAGAGTCACTTAGTGTTGTTAAGTTGATAGCATAAAGGAAATAAATATGGTGAAAAACAGCCTTAAAGGAATCATGCCTCTGTTGCTCCCCTATGACAAGAATCCAACACTGAATAGATTTAATTCTTTGTTATTTTTAGCTTAAGAGTCTTGTGTAAATTAATCTGAGTCTTATTGTGGTGGTGTTTGGAGTTTTATTCTTATTTAAAACACCTAGGTGACACAGCAATAATTATTGTAATTAATAAGGGTGGCAGGATAGCACAGCATGCTTTCATTAAAACTGAAGGATCTTTTAGGACTATGTATAGTCAGCAGTATTGTAATTACAGCTGATGAAAAAAAACGGGGTGGGGGGATTGAAATGTCCTCCCCTTCTGGGTGATATTTTGAATTTCAGCCACACTTTATTGTAAGAAGCTGGCTAGTGCATATTACATACAAACCACTGCCCCCTAGTGAAATACTGGCAGACCAGGGGTCCAACTTTTCATCCAGATTGATGCAGATATTGTGCAATCTACTGAAGATCAGTGCTCTCAAGACCATCATTTACAATTAGGGTTGCCAACTTTCTAATCGCACAAAACCGAACACCCTAGCCCTGGCCCTTCCCTGAGGCCCCACCCATACTCCAAGCCCCACCCCCTGATTACTACATTCCCCCTCCCTCGGTGGCTCACTCTCCCCCACCCTCACTCACTTTCACTGGGCTGGGGCAGGGACTTGGGGTGCGGGTGGGGTGAGGGCTCTGGCTAGGGGTGTGGGCTCTGGGGTAGGGCCAGGGATGAGGTGTTTGGGGTGCAGGAGGGGGCTCCAGGCTGGGGCCAAGGGATTTGGAGTGTGGGAGGGGGCTGCGGGTTGAAGCAGGGGGTTGCGGTGTAGGAGGGGGTGAGGGCTCTGGCTGTGAAATGGGCCATAGAGGCACTTCGCCATTATCTCCTAGGGAACTCCTTCCTACTCGTCACAGACCACACTCCATTCCACTAGCTAAACTCCATGAAGGACACCAATACCCAGATCATGAGGTGGTAACTTTCCCTGCAACCCTATGACTTCCAGGTACTCCATCACCCAGTAAAGGTATACAGCAATGCCAATTTCTGGACCCGCTCTTGGGTCTTAGCCTTAGGGGGAGGGTATGTGAGGGGGTGTATAAGTCCCACACTGGGGAACCAAAGGTTAACAAGCAGCTCTGAGCCAAGAAGGCCCCGGCCAGCCACACCTGCTGGGCATGCTCACAGTGGAGGCGGAGCTCACAAGGAAGCAGCCCAGCTCGCTCAGGGAGGACAGAGCACAGGAGCAGGCCCTATGCTGGTAGCTCCTGTAGAAAGGCTGCTGGTGCTCCACACCACCTGGACCAGACCCTGCTGCACAGCTGCAAAAGACCCCCATGGAGACCAGGAACAGATGGCCACGAGTGAAGGAGAAGGGCCTCCAGATCACTGTCCGTGAGAACGCCTACCATGAGGTCATAAGCCAACCCCTGTTGCAACTTTGGAGGTGACTAAGAAAGTTGTAGGAAGTGACCCTGGTGCCATGCTGCATATCTGACCGACCAGTCACAGAGCCCTCGGTGGAGCAGGCAGAGCCTGGATTCCCCTACCACCGGCTGTAGACTCTCGCCACTGGGCGACACTCCACGGACTCTTGCCACTGGGAGATATTGCTGGGCTCAGACACCGAACCCCCTGACAAGGGCCCATAAGAATTTTTCTCTCTTTAACTCAACATGTGTCACACTTATTGCCATAAAAATACAGTAAAGTTAAATCCTAGTGAAAGTGACTGGATTAAGTTTGAGAGGCCATGTTTGATTCAGGCCATGTTGATTCATGTAACCCCAACTGGACCTGAGCCACGAAGTTCAGATATAAATCTAGGCTCTACTCTGAGTTTCCCCATAGTTCAATGGTTCTTAAAACTAGGGTTTGTGTTTATTTCTACATAACTCCAAACACAGATTTTCGTTTGTTATGGCCACATTCAATATTTCTGTTTTACTTATTCAGTAATGAGGGGTTTGCTAATTCCTCATGTAGAGAGTTTATTTTAAACAGCTATTTAAGGTGCTTTTCCCATTTCTGGGACTGCCCCTCTGACCTCTTCTCCCTGTATAGTAATGTTACCCGACTTGTTGCGGCTATAAGAATTCAATTACATCATTGCTAAACAATGTCTCCTTTACACACTGTTCATGGTGTATGGATGGATGTTACTACACCCTTACCTCGATATAACGCTGTCCTTGGGAGCCAAAAAACCTTACCGCGTTATAGGTGAAACCATGTTATATCGAACATGCTTTGATCCCCCCGGAGCACTGCTTTACCGCGTTATATCCGAATTCGTGTTATATCGGGTCGCGTTATATCGGGGTAGATGTGTACTTTCTCTCCAGCCTATAAATATGTGGGGCCACATTTTGATTGCCTTAATCAGGGGAAGATCCTGCAACCCTTGTGGAAACTAACAATTAAGTCACTAAAAGCTACTTTTAAAAGTAAAGTTTTCTTACTTTAGGGTTGCCAGATCTGGCCCTCAGGTGGTCTCCCTAGGATGGCCATACACCCCTTTTTGGCCAGGATAGACCCTTTTTTAAGCCCTGTCACAGCCATCCCTACTTTTTTTGGCAAAAGTGGGCATTCGTCCCGTTTGTTCTTGCTAACTGATCAACATCTGCAAAGCTAAGATTGCTTGGGCCATCCTCTGTGTGAGAGATGAGGAGTTGATACACAATTTCTACTACATTTAGGGAAAATCAGATTTATTTAATGTCACACCCTGTAAATAAATCCAGGATTTCTTTCCCATCTACAACCCTTATTTTATTTTTGCAGACAAAGTGATCCTGCCCTGGAAAATGACTTAATATTACAATAGCACATAGTGTCACTTTCAGTTTATTTGCCTCCACTGCAGGACCATTGAAAATAGCTTATTTTGGGCTTGCTTTTGTTATCACTCTCCTAATGTAAATATTTCACTGACTCCATTCAAGTTTTGTTCTGTTCTGTTCCTCTTTTTGTGAGCCTTCTGTCCATGGGAAACGGGAGGGTGGAACTGAACACAGATCTCATTCTGAGTCTAATGCAGTCTGTCTGTGTCTTCTGGTATGTTCCAGAAGAGGAAGCAATTGCATAATCTGCAGTTAGTCAAGCAGCCTCTGACCCACAAGTACACTTATGATCACCAGTTCATTTTTGTCAATGTTGACAATCTTGTAAGGAGTGTGATTCAGATTAATACGCCCCAGAGGAAAACTTGACATGTAAATATTGTGTAGAATGTCAGTGGGATTTCCATATTCTCTAGCAAACAGTGTTTTGAGGTGGTTTCTCTAACTCCAAAACTTCAGTTTACTTTGTGCTAAGAATTGGCACAAACACTCCAGAACTGTACATTTAAGTCTCTTTTTGCTCAGCTCCAGCCTCTCTCCAGCACAAAGCTTAATATTTTACAAGCTAATAGTCTGTAGGCCGTTTGCACAGGTAGGCATTCATTACCTCCCTTTACATTGCTGCAAGGCATATGGCATGCAATCTTAGTAGCATCTGAAGAAAAGATTGCCTCTGTGCAGCATGGCAGATGGATGCAGATTTCTGAAACCAAAAGGGAAGGTACAGTAATCAAGCAGGTGGTGAATTGCAAGGACTTCTTTTTTTCCCTCTTAAACTCTTTCAAAATTTTGCTATTAGAAATAAAGAAATTCAATATTAAAGTTCAGACCGAGACAGACAACAGAATGTAAGACTTACTGCCATCCTCAATTAATCCAGAATAATTCCAGAACAGCACACGATCTAACAGAGGCCCGCGTGAATCCAACACTAATGCTCCAGTTCTGTAGAGAGCTTGTGTTTCCTAAAGAACAAGCTGTTTGCGAAATAAGGGCTTGTGATCTTGAGCCCCACATTTTGGCACATTA